AAATTTTACCCGATAAGTAAATGATAGTGTTAGATTTTACCGATAAACGTTTACTGTGTAAATGTTTGACAAACGGTCCTTTAGTTTAATTTCAATATACCGAACTAAATCAATAAAAAGAGACTTAATACGTTCAAATAAAATAAAAATCACAACATCTTAAATACCAATAAACAAAAATATTGACGTCATTAATTAGTTATACTAAGTTTCTAACTTACTGCTCTTGTTATTCCAAAAAGAGTTGATCTTTTTGTTTCTAAATCATTTTGCCAATGCCCCTTTAATTTCTCCATTCATCAAAAGAGAAATAAATTACCAATGCATGTCGTAAAACAACAAATTAAAATAGTACTTAACACATGTTATATAGGATGTACTACTGTCTTTATGAAATATTAAATGTAAGCATAGTTTAATGAAGTATCAATTTTGATTACGACACAAAAATTTAAAAACCCTAAAATAGCAACTAGTAAAATAAGAGGAATTTTACAAAGCATATAAAGATTCCTCTAAACGTACGATGTTTGCATCGGAAGAATGCAAAATCGGCATGAGAGTTAAATTCTTGATTTTATTGCTACTCTGAATGTAACTAAAACTTTATCATACATCCACTGAATGTTGATTTATGCATTAAATTTGCATTCTAATTATCATCCATCAGAAGATCATTAGTGGACATATGTAACCCGTTATGTGGTTGTGTTAACAAAGAGAGACTACAGATACTAAGTATGGTTGGCTTGAATTTAAAACGTTTGAAGTTGAGTTTTGTATGCTAGGTCTATCAAGTTAAATGGATCATCTGAGATATATGAGAAATTGTCGATGGATGGGATTAGCTGCACATATCTCCATCTCTATCATCAGTTATAACGTCTTGAAATTGACATGGATGAAAAACAACTCCGTATCTTTAAGAAGGCCAAGAGATCTATCTTATCTTAACCCAAATCAAAATTTCCTTCCTTTGATTAATTGGCCAACTTCTATTCTAGGGTTTTCAAGTTACGTGGATGTGATACAAGATATATGGGACATTGTCGGTGGATATGATTAGGGCACATATCTTTAAGGTCAATTATATATTTCTAACAAAATCTAGTTATGTTAAGACAAATGAAAGACACTTTATACCAACAACAATGCCCTTCCTCTTCAATAAAGGGTTTACGAAACTTTGAAATTTCTAATCCATTATTTCGGTTTCGATGTATTTATTAACATTAAATAAATTTTCCGATTAATTTCTTTTTATGGGTACAAGTTTTGCAAAAAACAACAATTCGAATCACAAAAACAATACAAACCGTGTAAATCACTTTTTATATGTTGTTTTATATATGAATCACTACATCTAAAATGTACAATTTTTGTTTCAATTTTTATAATATACTTATTTATCCATTTTGTAAAAATAATTATGGAAAATTAAATGGTTTTTGGAAATTCATAATTAGTATTTACATATGAATGAATCAAATTCCGGAAACCCATAAATTTATCTTAATTTTTTTAATATATTAATTATATTATATACTTTTGTATTAAACATGTTATATGAAAAAAAAAATTACTCTTTTTAATTTGATACACACATACATATGCGTATGCACACGTGTGCGCGCGCACACACACACATATATATATATATATGCAAAGGATCAATGAGAATAAGAATTAAGATGATAAACGTAAAAAGGGATTTGGACCCATAATCGCCTTTAATCACAAATTCACCCATGAATCTTTCTTGATACGGGGATTGATCTGATACATCTCATCTTGGAAAATGAAATCTGAAATAGAAATATGTTTTCCATCTCATCCTAATATGCATTTAAGGGTGAAGATTTTTTCTTACCACTACTAAAAAAAAGGGCATCACCGACGGATTTTTCTGGCGGAAATTCCGTCGGAAATATTACCGACGGATTTCCGACGGATACCAAAAAAGTCAAAAAAAGTCAACTTTTATCCATATCCGCCAAAGATCCCCCACAAATCCCCCACTGAATTTATCGGAAAAAAAA